CTGAGGGCATTGGGTGACTTGCACCAGATCAGTTAAACTTGAACCGATCTGGTTCCATAATGGGTCCACTTTGGAATTGGATCAACCCATCACTGCGCCGTGTTCCGAATCGGGGGACCTGATTTTTTTAAATATAGATATGATAGTAGAAGAGTCACTGGGTCGGGAATGAGGAATTCATCGCGTGTTCACGATATTTCCGATTGGGAACAACGTAAACATTTGATTTTATGAAGGTTAGTTTGTTCCTCACTGGGAACGTCTTGATAATATTGGATCAGAAATACAGCTGATCTTTGTCCTTTTTTAATTGCAATTCCCTTATTTTCAAATAAAGTTTTGTCTAAAGATTTTTGTTTCACATATTTGCCTCACATCTCCGTCGGATATCTTAAAAATTCGACCTATTGTATTGAATATTTTCTTTTTTCCCTGTTAGATTTCCCACAATTGACAAAAACTCGAAACTGCAAAGATATGCAGATGAGACGTATCCATATATAAGATGTATCCTCATTTTGGCAATTTATTGCAAAATGCATCCTTTTGGTGCCTCTAAGAAAGGTGTCTAAAATGTCAATGTTTTACTCCAAGGATTTCATCTGTAAAATGTGTGTTGTAAGTGGTGAACCCACGTCATCTCTTCGCGAAGACCCATATAAAATAAACGCGACGAATTGGAAGTTAAGCGGATCCGATGTGTGCCGCTCGTGCCGTGGTGCCACCCGTGCCGTGGTGCCACCCGTGCCGTGGTGCCACCCATTGTGGCGGAGCGAAATGAAAACTTGGATTTCGTCCCTCGTGAATTTGCCGAGTCTTGCCTTCTCATTGTGTTCATGGAATCCGAGGGACACGAGAAGAGCAAAACAACGTCACGTTTTCCTACTTTCACTCTTCGAAACCGCCTTCCAATCGTCCTCAGTCGAGTAGAGCCAGTAGAAGCCGAGTATTCGAGACTCCCAAAGGCGAGAAGAGTCCATGAGTACCTCATTCCTTCGAATCGGTTCTGCGGCTTTTGTTCTGCGCTCGTCTGCATGCAAAGTAGATGGAGGAAAAACGATTCCGCGGAGCACATTCCCAATCGAGAACTCCTAAGACACGGTAGGACTTCAGACTCGGATTTTTTAAAAGGAATTTCGAGGTTCGTGCCGTGGATCGATCCGAGTTGTGAGAGCGGCAACTTCTTTAGGAAAGGAACAATTTGCACAGTAGGATTCATACAAGGCGTCGTGATACCATACAAATGGAGTGTCACTTCTAGCACGAATTCATTGTTTTGTTGTTTTTTTAAAAAATGTATTTAATTTTTAAATTCTTAACCTTTTTGCTTTGAAAAGAGTTCTTTACACCAAAAATTCTCCATTCATTAAAGTATCTTTCCCCATCGTTCTGGATCCTTTAGAGGCGAACTGGAGATGAAGTACCGCAGGCGCGATAGTAAATTCCGGTTACAATTTAGGCCGACTGTGGACTTGCACTGATAAAAAAAAGGGAGGGAAAAGGGGGGGCACAACGGACTTCACAACGATCCGGTTCCCATCTCCTCCGTAGTCCTTGCATTTCGCTATCATTTTTCTTCGAGTTCAGAGAGGGACGCTGATTGATATTTTCTACAAAAGAACTGCCTTTTATTGAACAGAGATGAGCATTGCATTAGAGTGGCGATGGAAATTCGTCGAGGAGGATGCGACGATGACTCGCCGATCGAGAAAAAAAAAGTAAAAAGTAAAACACGAAAGGTCAGACAGCACCACGGATTCGAGGAACGTTCAGAAAGCATTTCTCGTTTTTTCCTCGCGATCGAGTCCCGAGACTAGCGACACGGAAGACGCTCGGAGCAAGACACCGTTCACGTTTTCACTCTTGTAATGGCAAAATCGGCTCGAAGACGGACGCCGAGAGTCGCTTTCGCACGGAAACAGCTGCCCAGAGATCACAAGTTGCCGAGACTTCGGTGTCGACCCCTCACGCGGCCCCGCCGCAGAAGGTGGCATCGTTCCAATTGCACATTCCGCCGATGGGGTCGAAGGCGAGATGAGACGGACACGTGTAGATCCATCCCTTCCGTCGGGATCCCTGCTTCCACGACGACGTCTTCCTCTTCGCGAAGAGAATTTTCCTTCTGGGTCGAAGATTCCTCTCTCTCCGGTTGATGACGACTGGGCTCGGCGATCTCGATCTCGGACAACTCCCCGACGAGCGGAACGACGACGGGAGCGGTCAGTCGCTCCTCTCGTCTGCGTTTGGCGACGCCAGCCGTCTTCTCGCTCGTCTTCGCTTGGACCTCCGTCTCTGTCTCCACGTGGAACGCCATGGAAGTCTTCACCTCTTCTATCGGGTGGAAGAATTCAGTGGTGGATGGAGGAGCCTCGGTCGATCTCGACCGATACTGGAATCGGTTCTGGAACAGGGTGCGTCTTCTCGGGGACGACGGAGGGGATTCTTCTTCGTTCGGCGTAGCCGTCGTCGTCGACCTCGTTCTCAACGAAGGGGGAAACGGTCTTCGGGTTCTGACACCGGGGCGCAACAAGACCCGAACGGAGGTCGTCGAAGTCGGAGGGGATTCCTCCGGAGAGGATTCTTCCGTCGTAGACGACGGCGACGGTGCTACGATCTCCTTTTTCGCCTTTTCACCGGAGTTTGATTCCTCACCGGAACGAACGGACGTCGGGTTCTCGTCTGAAAGGATCCTCTGACCGGTACTCTTCTGGTAGGCTCCAATGCAGCTTCGGTCGTCGATGAAATATCTAGCACTTGCTCCTGACGGCTCGAGAAAATCTCCTGGCCGTCCTCGGTGCGCACGGTTTCCTTCACCGACACCATCAACGATACCTCTGGTTCCTCTTCCTCTTGGGGCTGTCTCTCTTCCTCTAGGGGTCGGCTTACTTCCTCCAGCGGCTGTTCCTCTTCCACTTGTTGCTGTCCCCTCTGAGGCTGGGGACGGCTTCGTTGGAAGAAGCGGTCTGGCGAATTGGGCCTTCGCGTAAAAGGCTGGCGGACCCAGGGGGACGGATGCGGATCCTGCTACCAACTTGGGGCTTCTCATCTTCCGGGGGTGCCTCTGCCGTTGTCGTCGTCGTCGTCGTCGTCGTCGTCGTCGTCGTCGTCGTTGTCGTCGTTGTCGTCGTCGTCGATGTCGTGCTAATCGTCGTATTCCGGACCCTGTCTCTTACCTCAGGAACCGTGTCTCGTGGTTCCTGAAGATGAAAAATATCGCATCGAAATTCAACGTTGAAGTTCTTCTCCCACCACAATCATCCTCTTTTTAGAAGAATCTAATTTATATCTATCGTCTATAGTGCATCATGTTTTTTCTGTTCAACTTCAATCTATCTCGAGGACCTTGAGCGAGAACAGGCATATCATATCGGAAATGTTTCGGTAACTCCTCTCGTTCCCTTTCCTGAGGGAGCGAAAGGGCTTGTAGGATCCAGGCGGAAGAGCACGCTTTCTCGTTGCAAAATTCCAGTCTGACTGATGATACAAAAATTGCTGCGATCAAGGCCTTTCTAAGCTGTGATTCATATATCATGAAAATCTATAATTGTTCGAAATTGTTCCAATTGTGCCTTATTTGAAGTTGCTTAAATGAGGAAAGAAAATCGTCTCACCTCAACGTCCGTTTCCTCCAGCTCATCCGGACGAACGAAATCCTTTGGTCTTCGAATGATACATGGAATCCTTCTGCACATGCCATCGTCTGTTAATGATTAGCTCAAAAAGTCTCGCGACAAAAAAAAAAAAAAAAATATATATATATAACAGCGATTCAACAATTACTCAAAAATTAATCAGGTGATGTCCCCAACGGCACCGGGATGGACTCACTGAGGAAAGAGTGGTTCCTGGTCCACATCGACGGGGGCTGTTCCTTCTTCCTCTTCTTCTATGGCCAGGGGTGCGGTGGATTGTGGTGGTTTCCTCCTGTCCATTGTCGCATATTCCAGGTTGTACTGTTTCCTCGGTTCCTTTATTTTCGAAATCCCTTCAATCAAGTACCGCCCTCCTTCTTCTCCTCCTCCTCCACTTCCCTCCCTGTTGATGATGATGATTAATATGTACCCCTCCAGGATGTGTATTCATCACCATCATTCATTTACTTCATGTATCCTACTGGAGCCACACATTCCACATTCAATTTACATTGCTTTAAGAAGAAAAGAATTTTACTTTCGAAGTAAGTACGGATGAAAACAACCTTGCATAGGTCTTCAAAAGTGCATGAATCCAATAACCGGACTTCATTGAATATATCAGAGAAATTTTCCGATTATCATACATTAAGACGCCGTACAGATGTAGTTTTTCCTTGACGACATGTCTAGTCTCCACTTTTGCAAAATGGACATGTTGGGGGAATTAAAATGCAGGCGTACGATCGGATGCTCACCATCGCCGATCGACGACGAAGAATTGAGATCCCCGTCCCCCTCCGAAAGGGGAGGAAGAAGGATCTTCTGTCTCTTGGGGTTCCACTCTCGTCTCTGTGCTCGTCCGAGACCGTGCCACGAACTGGGGTTGTCGCTGGAGTCTTAGCAAATAAAATTACTCACGATAACCAATATTTTTTAAAAACTAATGATGAGAAGGGAAGAGACGAAATCAACGGGGGAAAAGGCTGAAAGGGGCAAAGAGAACTAAGAATTCAAAAAGAATACTAGGAATGTATTGAATTTCATCGGTAACAGAAAAAAAAACTACTTTCTTTTTTGCAAGAGAATCGTACCTCCAGCTAAAGTTACGAAATCAACCGACACCCTAATTATAAAAAGAGGGTATTTAGAAGAGAATGTTGAATAATGAAGGTTCGATTGGATCGGCCCCTCGCAGAGGAAAGACAAGGACACTAATAAATGAGGTTTTAACTGCAGAATCTTTTCATCCTGAGAAATGCATTCTTGTTCCTCCCCATCTCGTGCTCTTCACGGGCCCAATTTCCCTGCGAAACTGTTGCGAAACGTTGGGCCTTTCAGAACGTTCTGGATAATTATCCTAATTTCAAACCGACGACTCGAAAGTGATGGCAGCTGTGAGAAACGACACGCTTGACGTTCGGCATCAAGACGAGATTGTTGCCTTTGTAGCCAGATCGGTTCTCTGCGTGGTCCTGCGCAAAATTTCGTCACGTCACGGGCGAAGTTGCTATTACCTGCATTTTCCTGTGAATACTCCTCGTAAAAAAATTAAATAAATTTGTGGAGTTTAAGGTGAATCGGAAAAGCTTCTGCATTCTATTTAAAAAAGGGCCATATTGGGTGGCAACACCACCGGAGGCGGAAACACAGCAAGAAATTACGGGTAATCTCCGCTTTCTGGGCTTTTTTTAAATATTAAGACTGTTTTCCCAATCCGTGAGAACTTTTTTTTTTACAACTGCAATCCAGGAGGATGTCTTACTTGACTTCCTCGTGAGCAGAGCGTTCCTTTTCCCTGAGTAGAATATCCTTCACCGCACCAACTGGAAATGGCGTGGGAAAAAAAGAGTACCGATTACCATTTGAAGCGCGTGATGACCATATGACCTTCGGAGAGTGTCAGGTACCAAGGTCATTGATGAGGAATAGGAGTTGCTTAAGGTCGGTGGGCTTCCCCTCGGGGGTTACGAAGAGATCCTCGTTCGAAGGCAAGACGTAACCCTTCCTGCTCGGATGATCCCCCTCTTCGTCCGGTGGCGGGCCCTTGTAGGGGGTGGTGGTGGGCTGGATGAGACGGGACGTCATTGTCTTATCCTCCCCCTTTCGGATGCTGGACAGGCAGGTCACGTACTTGGGGAAGTCGCACGAGCCGGAAATCGAGTTGAAGTATAGTCCTGAGTAAAAAAAGAAAAAGTTACGTTAAAAAGTCTAGGATGGTTGTATTGGCATTGACACCCATTGGCATTGGAATTATTACACCATTTACGTACCATATTTTAGCATTTATTTTGAAAAATAATCATTGCTTTACAAAATGTAATGTTTTAAGAACTAAGCTTGAGTACAATGTCTTACATATGCACGCACAACTGAGAATTTTTTTTTACATTGTAAAATATAGATGCTAGAGGGTCTCGTAGATCAATGTCAATGGTTTAATCCTTTCAGAACTGAATTAAGGCCGCTATCGGAATAATATCCTTTTTTTGCATTTTTGAGCTGTTTCATGATTGTAATTGAAATTTTCATGTTTTATATGTAGTTTTCATATTTTGTATAAATTTACCATATCATACCATATATTATATCTTATAACTTTAAATAAATAAATGCAGAGTACAACTAATGGGTAAAAGAAGGCCTCAGATGGAACTGAGCCATGCATAATTGCGCCCATTTTAGCGTAATTTGGAGCGCAAAGTCACGAGAATCATAAGAAATTGCCATAGATACAATATAAATGTAATGTCCATTGGAATGGACGCCAGGTCTGAAAGGGTTAATTAGATCAGGAATTGATGCCGACTGACCGGCAGGGCAGGTGACGAGATGAGACACCAGTCCTTGGGCCGGAGTATTGCGGCACCAGAAGAACTTGGTGCACTCCTTTGGGTGCGTGAAGAACCCCTCACCCTTGCACGAAAAGTCTATGTGAAAATGAAAAACGAGCACAGTGATAATTACTGAAAATATTTTCGAAATTCGCAACCGAGAGAGAGAAAATAAATCATTAGACTGTGGCCACCGTGAATCTTACTATTCACACCTGGTGCCCTCGAAAGTTCTGCCCCACTTTCAAACGCGTTTTCTGAGTGAAAGGACATTTTAAAGTTTCGCGATTCAGAAGCATGGGCATGCCATCACTGGCATCCTGGCGTGGGATCGCGACGCCCACGCCTCGCAGTCCTACGTCACTGCGCTTCATCGCAACCAAACTCCGCTCGAGTTCACAAAACGTCGGCGTTCATTAGACACAGTCTATAATTATCCATATGGATGCACCTCATTATGCACTCGATTAGTCGCGGAAGCTTTTGAAATCGCGCAGCATTGCAACTTTGAAGGAGGGCCGAAGGAATAAGAAAATCTCTCTCGTCTTTCATAATTAAGGGCCATGCACACGAACTGCGAAGAGCTGCGTTGCGACCACTGCGACCGTCGCAGCTCGTCGCAGTCGGTTGCATTGGAGATGCGTGGGACCTTCACAGATGGTCGCAGTACGGTTCGCAACGGATTCGGACAAGTTTATTCCAGTCGCATCCTCGCAGTCGTTCGCATTGCTTATGTATTAATCGTGAGCTATGGAGTCACTGGATAACGACGAGAAGTTGATAACGGAAGTGCAGAAGAGGCCCCTTTTATATGATCAGTGCTTAGTCGAATACAGGAACGGGAAGTTGAAGGAAGCAGCTTGGATCCAAATTGCTGACCTGAGTGAATGTGAAGTCAAAGGTGAGATTTATTGGACAACTAATTTTAGCCATAAAATGGTTAAGGATGTACTCTCTTTATCATCTGCAAAGCAAAGAATAAATAGACTTAAAACCTTTTACTTGATTATATTTGTGATAATAAAAAAAAACTTTGTAAATACTGGACTTCATTCCAATCTTCCTATCCCGAGGCTACCTCTCCTTAGAAGCTCTTCTTGTATGTTTCAGTGACTCCTAAGGAATGCCAATCTCGTTGGAGAGACCTTAGAGATAAATTCAACAGAGAGGCTAAGAAGGGAAAAAGAAGACGGAGTGGATCGTCCACAGAAGACGTATATACATCAACGTGGCCTCTGATGAGCATTATGTCATTTCTGTCGTCCCATATCAAGCTTCGACAAACATCAGGGAATATGGACGAAGAAGCGGGACCATCTCCTGATCCAGACGCTCAAGTGGAGGTATTCAATATCTCTTGCGAGTGAGGCTCTACAGGAGTCACAGGAATCTCAGGAGCCTGGAGTAAAATATAAGCCAGTGCAGTCTCGAAAGATGAGGTCTCCACCCATCAATCCCGTAGATGCAGAACTGCTCAATATAATCAAATCTCATCCATGTGAAGAACAGGAAGAGGAAGAAGAGCGCATGTTTGCTTTCAGCATAGTACCATCACTAAAACGATTGCCACCAAATGCAAAAGGCATCGCGAAAATGAAAAATTTTCAAGTAATACATGAGTTGGAATTTGAGAACGGCAAATACCAAGGAACTCTTCCTCGGTACGAACCATACCAAGTCCATCACTCCCCTAGCCCTCCACCCCGTCATTTTGGGACAGAAAATATTGCATTATCTCCTTCCAATTCAGAATAATTAGCCAGTAGAGGGCATTCATACTCCAGCAATTGGCTCACAAATGTACAGTATACCCCAATGAATCATTGAGAGTCCTTGTGAGTCAATAAAACAACAGTTCTGCAGTCTATTTCATCTATCCTTGCATCTTGAAACCTTACAATGTTAACAGGAAATTAGAGAATTTAGAGGAAATTCAGGATTACGTCAAGTCAACGGCGTGGAAACCCTCTTGATTAATTGTCTATTCCTGAAGGTTTGGGTCTTCCAACTGATTTATACTGCCAATGAACTTCACCCTGAGGCGAAGAAAAGTAATCGGCGAGATCTTCCCTGATTTGAATTGCATTCTTGGAAAATTTTCCACCAGCACATTTGATGTCAGAGAAACCTAGAGCTGGATCGCTCTGTCGCCACTCTCCTTCCACAGTGCTTCCTTGAGCATCCTCTGCATCCACCATGTGGCTTGTGGTATAATGACGCTGACTTGGATCTGACCTGCTTTCATGGAATCGAATGAAGTTAAGGAGACAGCAGCAGGCTTTGATCACAAAATCTACATTCTGAGGGTTCGTTACAATTGGCTTTCTGAATATCCTCCATTTAGTAGCAAGAATGCCAAGTGCGTTCTCTATCACTCGTCGTGCCCGAGATAAACGATAGTTGAAGATGGCCCTCCTAGTGTCAAGAAACTTTCCAGGAAATGGTCTCATGAGAAAGGTTTTAAGAGGAAATGCCTCGTCCCTAACAAGGAAACCGGGGAGTGGCTTTCCACTATTCGTCAAGGATTTCCCATCCGGAACTTGTATCCTCCCTTTTCGAGTGATCTTCCGAAGGCAGAATTTGCAAGAGTGCTGCCATCACTCTGTTTTCCATAGCCCCCGACATCAATCAAGGTGAAATGGTAATTAGCATCACATACAGCCAACAAAATAATGCTATAGGACTCCTTGTAATTATAATAAACTGATCCACTTCCTTTTGGGGCCTGGATGAGAACATGTTTCCCATCTATAGCTCCTACACAATTTAGAAAGTTCCACCGGTCTTCGAATTCCTCCATGATTTTCCTCCATGTTTCATGATCTGGCACTCTTAGGTATAGAGGAGACAGGGTCTTCCATATCACTCGAGTCGTTTCATTGATGATTTTCGAGACTGTGGAATGACCTAGACGGTGGGTGATGCCTATCATCATCATTGAGTCTCCATGTGCGAGATACCTGCATAAACAAAGTAAATCTTCATGGAACGTCTGGATTCCATACTGCATTTCAGATCATTTCCCTTGTTTCCGTGATTTTTTAATCTTTAAGCTGAAAAGTACCTGTACTTTCAGTGCAAAAGACTCACCCTCGAAGGTCTTACCCAAGCAAAAGTCGTATCCTCATTGAAGAGAAATCTGTTGGTAATGCTGCATGATTATTAGTACTTCAGATACAAAGAATATTTTTTTAGAGTATGTATTAATACTTAACTCAGGGTCACTGCCAGCATTTGAGCTGGGGGAATGCAAAGCCTGAAATTTGTGTCCTGTCTAATCAGGTCATTCTCTAGCAGACCGTGAAGGATTTTGAAGAGCTCGGGAGACATTCTCATGTACTTATGAAAATATTCCTTGTCTTCGGTGATGATCTTATCCACAAGAGTTGTAAACGCTCCCATCTGATGACGAGACCTGTTTATGGGACGGACCCACCACCGTCGCGAGGTATTTCTCCTCTGGCGCCGTAAGAAAAGCAAAAGTGCAGCAGCACGAGCCCTTATGTTGTAGGCAGCCATGTTGCATTTCGCTTGGCTGCTCTACGACCAGTGTAGATGATGCTTCGCAGACGGTCGCAGTCGAGAAATGACTGCGAACTTCGCAGATGGTCGCAGTGCAGCTTTGTCGCAGCACTTCGCAGTCAGTGTGCATCGGCCTTTAGTGGGGGTGCGCGAAGGGAAGTTTGAGGGTAAGTCTTTTGCGCTGAAAGTACAGGTGCTTTTCAGCTTAAAAATTTTAAAAAATCATGGAAACAAGGGGAAATGAT